ATTTTATGATTTACATCAAAAAAACCAAAATAAAGATATTTTATTTGTATTATTAGGTATAAAAAAATTATTAGGTACTAAATTCGCAAAAAATGTAAAGGTTTGGTTGTATTTTAGCCATTAATAAAGTATAGGTACCAAATTCGCAAAAAACGTAAAGGTTGGGTTGTATTTTCGCAATAAATAAAGGATAGGTACCAAAATCACAATTAGCCTATAGTACAGGTATTAAAATAACAATTACCCAATAATATATTATTAGTACAACGAATGAACGTCCGTGGATTACACGAGTGCTTGCTATTTTTATTTTTATAAAATTTAAAATTAATCAAAAAAAAGTAGTTGAAAATTTAAATATTTTTTTATAAAAAATATATATTATATATATATTTTAGTATGACACTTATTAGTTATACGATTTACTTATGTTATTAGTACAGAGCTCGTGTGATGTACGGGGTGCACAATTTTAAGGTCATTTATTCAGCATTACAATTATATAAATGAATAGAGAAAAATGTAACGGATATAAATAGTACGTGAGCTGTTCGAGGCACCGGATATATTTATTTAGGAAATATTATATTTTAAGATGCAATATTAAATAAAAGTTTTACAATACGCAAGAAAATTGTACAATAAAATATTACTCGCCAAAGAAACAATCATATATTATTAAAGACCTCCTTGTACACAACATTATTAAAGACCTCCTATTAACTTGTTTGATTAAGCCAAATCCTTGATTCATTGTTGTAGTTGACACACTGATCTGTTTTTTGTTTTTTCGCAGGTTGAAAGAGAGGAACACGTTGATTCAGTATTGGGAGATTTTTAATTTATAATTGGTTTATTGAATTACTAGTACAACGCCCGTGTATTACACGGGTGCTTGCTAATTTGTTCTTAAAATCTAAAATTAATGAGAAAAATAGTTAAAATTTTAAATGCATTTTATAAAATATATATATATTATATATTTAGTATGACAATTTTTATTTGTGTGACCTACATGTGTTGTATTATAATAAGTTTTTTCACTTACAACATATAACTACATTAAACTTAAATATATCAATTAAGAAATAATTTTATTTTTCTAATGAATTTTAATAAATATTATTATTTTTTATTATTATATAGATAAATATAATTTATTTATTTTATATATACAATATGGATGTCAAAACGAAGATCATTAAAAGATGATTAATTTGATATATTATATATGTGAAACTGATAAGAAATACAAAAGTTATCAACTTTTAAAATACATTTACAATTCAGTAGCTAATTGAAGAAAACAAATCAAAAGTCAGAGATATATTAGTCATTTAGTGTAAAAGTACAAAAAATTAAAGGGTTATATTAGTACACGTGATATTAAAATACCTAAGTTAGCTAAATAATATTTATAGAATGCCTGAACCTAGATTATTAATTATTAATATATCAATATTATTTGTCCAAACCTAATTACGAAGCATGATTCTTTGCCAAGTAGGATTTCGAAGCACCAGAAGCAGCCACGTAGGCTCAGCGCATTCGGGAATTATATATAGAAGGGATATGTAGAGATAATGTCAAGTAATCAAATCATTATATGTAGTAACAAATCAGATAAGATATTTATTGCATTATAATTTAAAATATATTGCATTTAAAAAAAACCAAACAACTAAAGCGTGTGAAATATGTTTTCATTTGGGAAGGAGATAACTATGTTGAGCGATCTTATCATCATGTATAAATAATTATAATTTATAATTGCATTTAAAAAAGATTCCACACCAAAAAAACGCGTGAAATCTGTTTTTATTTGGGAAGGAGACGCGTGAAATCTTTTTTAACATCAGATTAGATATTTATCTCTTTATAATTTATAATAATTTATAATTTAGATTAAAAAATATTCTAAACACAAAAAACGCGTGACTTTTCAATGCTTGCTAAAATTATAAATGTAGTAATTAAGTTTGACTCCGATCTTATGGGATTATTTTTTACTAAATTGATTTTATGAGATAAGTAAAAAAAAATACGTAATAAAAATACATGATAAACAAATTGTAAAAAGATAAGAACAGATTTTCATACACTTAGTAAAAAGATAAGAAGGAATTTTGAATACACACAAATCCTTAAAAGATTGAATATGCGTTTACAATTTTTGATTTTTTTTTTACTTCACCAATTTTATGGGATTTTTTATGTAAAGATAAGAATGATTGTTTTTTACTAAACTGAGTTTATATTATGAGATAAGACAAAAAAAAAAACGTAAATTAAGTACTTGATAAAATTAAAAATGCAGTAATTAAGTTTGACTCCGATCTTATGTGATTGTTTTTTACTAACTGATTTTATGAGATAAGAAAAAATACGTAATTAAAATACTTGATAAAATTATAAATTCATTAATTAAGATTGATTTTTCTACATACTATATTTAGTAAATAGAATATCTTTTAATATAAGTATAGATATTATAATAATTTGTCTAACTTATAGCATATACATTAAACATTAATATATTAATTGAGAAATAATTTTATTTTTCTAATTAATTTTAATAAATATTTTATTATTATTATGAATATAAATATAAATTATTTGTTTTATATATACAATATGGATGTCAAATCGAAACTCATCAAAAGATGATTAATTTGATATATTATATATGTGAAACCGATAAGAAATACAAAAGTTATCAACTTTTAAAATACATTTACAATTCAATAGTTATATTAAGAAATGATATTGAAATACAATTAATTTATCTAAAATGATAATAAATAAATCAACATATTTATGGTAATCCGAACCTAATTATTTTTTTATCTGAATTAATATAAAATCTATCCAACTCAAATAACAAAGCATGGAATTTCGACACATAGGATCCTGAAGCATGCTAGCCTGCCACTTAGGCTCAGCACATTTGAGATTATATATAGGGAGGACTAGTACAACGTCTGTGTATTACACGGGTGTTTGCTAATTTTATTTTCTTAAAATTTAAAATTAATGAAAAAATAGTTGAAAATTTATATACTTTTTATAAAATATATATATATATATATATATATATTTTAGTATGACACTTATTATTTGTGAGACTTACCTGTGTTATACTATAATAATTTTTCTAACTTATAACATATACATTAAACATAAATATATTAATTAAGAAATAATTTTATTTTTCTAATTAATTTTAATAACTATTTTATTATTATTATGAATATAAATATAATGTATTTATTTTATATATGCAATATGGATGTCAAATCGAAA